ACTGGGAGTGCCAAGATATCTGCAATAAGTGGCATGTACAAAGAATATTAGACTTTGACCTAGGAATAGAATCAAAAGGACTGCATTGGAAGATAGCCTCTGTCAATTCCTAGCTAGGGGAGGTTGAGCAAATAATTTATTCAACTTTTCTAAGCCTGAGTTTCTTCACCTGTAAATTGAGATAATAATGCCTGCCATATCTTACAGGTTGTGAGAAGCTAGTCAGATAATATATGGGAAGAAACTCAGTAAAATAATAAGCCCATACGATTATAAACTAGCATATTATTAATATCATTATTATTTAATTCTTTAGTAGTTTATGACCATTTAGTTTAGTATGAGAGATAGCCTATAAACAGTAAAGTACCTACTCAGTCACCTTTGCTCAACATACCACCTCCCTCAGGTTTAATTTTCAAACTTTAAATTAGAAGTGGGTGGGGGTGTGTGGAGAGGAAGGTCCCTTAGGATATTTGACTACAATAATAACTAACAACAGCAAAAAAGTAAACGGATCCTTAAAAAACAAAGTTTCCATCTTTTAAGACCAAGATGGGACTGTGTTTAATGGAATGAACTTTGAGCATCTACTAATAAAGTGGGTTTAATAGAGAAAACTTCTTATCTCTTTTACAGTGAAAAATGAGGGGGCAAACACCTAAGCAACTCCCTGTATGTCAAAAACTAACTGGATTTGATTGTCTTCTGAAGAATTCTACAATTATAAGTTACGGACTTATAAACAAATAAGAATTCTAAGAGCTCTTACTTCCAAAAACTAGTGTCTCATTTTTAGCAAGATAAAAATATATTTAATTATTTAAGTAAAAGCCACTTCTCTTTGTCAAGTCTAAGTTCCTTCAACTAGATCACTTAAGTTCCGACTTCCAATTCAAAAATGAAGAATTATAGAATGTTCGTTCTGGAAGCGACCTTTCAGAAATTATCTCATCTAGCTCCACTGAGTATAAAAGCACTATGAAAACTTTGAAGTGATATGTGTCAGTTCTTCTTCTTATTATTATTATACAGGTGAGGAAACAAGTGACTTGCCCCAGGTCCTACAGCTAGTATTGCAGAAGAACCAGGATTTGATCTGAGATTTTTCTGGGTTCAGTTCCTGGTACATTGTGCCAGACTCTGATCCTACAATTTTATGTTGCATTCTGAATATAACCCTATTCTGTTTCATGCTTCGCCTTCATTTCACAAGCAATGTGGGATCTATGCTGTTAAAACAAAATCCCATTCTTATTAGTAGACCTGTGTTATAAAACATTGTACTCAGTTATTATTATATTTTAAATTTCAATAATAAAACAACTTGTAAAAATTTGTCTTCTCTCTTGTCATATAAGTATATATGCAATACCATCAGTTTTAATTCTAAAATATTTACTGTTTAGCTTTTTATGGAAAAAAAAATTGCTAACCCCTGGTTAGGCTTAAGAAAGTATTGGAAAAAATGTCAGTAATGTAGCTTAAACTTAACAGTGTGTTGGGAATACCTTTTTTTTCTCCAGAGAAACTTACCAGCACATCCTTTCCAGTCTCCTTCTATCACTACCCCTTCTCCAAATTCACAAACTTAGAGTGATCCTGAGTTCTTCCTGCTTCCTCATGGCCCACCTCCCCTAGCATCTATGCAACTGCCAAGTATTATGAATTCTATGACTACAACATACTTTGCCATCCTTTTCAACTCTCTCCTTACACTGTTCTTTGCTTAGTTCAGGCCCTCATTGCCTCTTACTTAGATTATTGTAATGGTGTCTTGACTGATCATCCAACTTCTAATGTTTACCCTCCTCAATCTGTCATCCACACAGATATCAAAATAATCCTCCTAATGCATGAGGCTGACCATGAAACAACTCTACTCAAAAACCTCCAGCAGCTCCCTCTAGGCTCTAAGCTAAAATACAAACTTCTCACCCTGGCATTTAAAGCCTTTCCAAAACTGGCTCCAACCTTTCTTTCCAGATATTTCACTCTCCTTCACAAACTGCATACCAGACCAAGTAGACTACTAGTTGCTGCTCCAGAAACTTAACCTTTGCATCTGTCTCTCTTCCTCCTCAGCTTCCTGCCTTAGAATCCCATCCTGCTTTAGGACTCAATTCAAACGGTGACCTTTCAATGAAGTTGTTCCTCTGATCATTCTGTTGGTATGTGTCTCCCTTCTTAGATAACTTTGTATTTATTTATCTCTGTAGAAGTTTAATTCCCTCAGTAGAGTATAAACTCCATGAAGATAGGAATTATTTCAGTTTTGTCTTTGTGCCAGTGCCTTGTGGTTTGTTGGGTTCAATAAATGTTCATTGAATTAAATTTAATCTTTTGATAACCAGTTGTCAGAAACCAATGGTGACAGTGATCAGTTACCTAAAAACAAAGAATGAAAGACTTGCCTGGTTAGCAGAACTCTGTTCACCATGAAAATTAAATAAGAGATGTGAATGAAAAAAAAATGAATCAACTGATTGTATCATCCTCAACTGTCTCTTAACATGCATCTTTAATTAAGCTTGAGGTCTGAACCTCAGAACAGAAGGGCAATAGAAAGTAGGGAAGACAGACACTGCTGAAAATGCCAATCACAAAAACAGATCTTCAGGGGAAAAGACAAAAAGCCATTTTTCGTAAATTCCATTTAAAAATGCTAGCTTATATTTAGGCAGGACTTTATAGTTTTAATTTTTTTTTTGTCTAGGAAATTGGGGTTAAGTGACTTGCCCAGAGTCACACAGCTAGTGTTATGCGTCTGAGGTCATATTTGAACTCAGGTCCTCCTGACTCCATGGCCAGTGCTTTATCCGCTGCACCACTTTGCTGCCCACTAAAATTGTTTTTTACATCCATTATCTCATTTAACCCAGATTTGAGGAAGAAAGTTGTTTTTAGGACATGGGAAGATAATTGGCTTATCTTGTTGTTCTCAAATTGACTTACCTGAGCTAGGAGAAAAGAATGTATGATATTTAGGTGTTCTGTGGTCAGAGGAAGGAACATTGTTTTAAAAGCTATGACCCAGTACAATTTGTTCTTTTCCATTTTTACTTCCTTATGGAGAGAACGATTCTTTAATAGCAATATTCCTTGAGGGAGGAATCATGTAGCACCACAGTCCTAGAAGAATCAAAATTACAAAAGCAATGGAAAGACACATGAAATAGGTGGCAATGTTTTCTCTTGAGTGTATTTTGCTGACACCAGAAGTCCTAGAAACAGCCCCGTTCTGAGGCCTCATCATCTTGTTGCCATGTAGAGGTTACCTTGGCTAACTCAGGGCATTAACCTCTCTTGAGGTCTCTACTCTCTTTTTGGTAGGTAGAGGAAGGCACCTGGTACAAAGCAACCCATCAGCTTTGAGAGAATGCAATTAACTAGTAAAGGTTTTAGTCTCAGAGAAGGTCCCAGTTCTTTCTCTGCAAAGAAAAGAAAAACAATTCATTTAAAAAATTGCTTTGAAAATAGAATTCATAGAATATTCTGAACCCTCAGGTGATGTGTTGATTGCTAGGCACAACACAACTCAGTTGCCAGTTAAAATTGTGTTTATCTAGCAAACCATTGTAATAAAGGTAAACAACCAGTAAAGCAAGTTTTAAATAAGAAAGAAATCCTCCCAGTTGAATCTTGCTACCTGTTTCTGGGGCAATAAAACCGAAGGGAGAAACAGAGAATGAAAGGGATTCAGTATTTGTCGTTCCAGTAGTTTCTTCAAAAATCCAAAGTTCAGTCACTCTCTGCTGGAGTCTTTTAATAAGTCAGGTTGGTAGCCAGGGAAAGGAAAATCTCTGGTTAACACAAGGCTTGGAGTCTGTCCTGGGGGGACACCCTCCATCTGCCATGCAGCATGCTACCTCTGTTGCCTGCTACTGTGTGCTTTCTCTCCATCTTTCACTTCTACTCACTCCTCATAGCCCTCTCCTAGAGATTTTTAAAATCCTCCATGTATTGGAAAAATTCTGCCCTCTAGTTCTGATCTAGCAATGGGATTTTTCTCCTTAAGCTGTGGAGAAATTAAACTCCAAGAGTCTTTAGTAGATTACATCTCCCTTGGATGGTAGTGGTCCAAGCCTTGCTAGAAGGATGTTAAAATATGAATGAAGTAAATTAGAAGAGTTTATTCTACATTCTTGAAGGGGAAATTGGCAAATCATAAATTGCGAAGACTTTTGATATAGATTAAACAAAAAAAAGACTATCGGAGAACCAGTCTAGCTAAGTATGAAGAAGTTCAAATGTGGCTACAAATTCTATGATCATAGTGACCCATAAAACATAAAAATGCAAAATGGTCCACAGTCTACTGTGCTTCCTCCAGGAATAGTAGGAGGATGATGGAAAAGGAGTCAGAAGGTACTAAGCACCTACCTCATAGATAACAAGTGGGCTAAGCCCCAAGGCTTGTGAGAGAAAAGAATATAGGATACAAGGAGCTGGATCATAAAATGTCTGTGGGATAAGGCGTGTTAACACCAGCAGGAGGCCCAAGGTGACACTGCATTTGCTGAGACACAAATATAACTTTTTTTTTGTATTCCCAAGTTTTTTGTTTTATATATTTAAAAACATGATTCTAAGGAGTCCATAGACTTTGATTGTCAAAGGGGTACATGACACAAAAAAGGTTAAGAACCCCTGAACTATATGATCTCTAAGGTTTCTTCCAACTCTAAAAATCTATGATCCTGTGACTCCCCTACCCACAAATAAGCACAGATTTTCTAGCTGCTTCATTCAGGATCAATCAACAAATTTTTTGTTGAGTCTCTGCTCTGTGCACAACAGTCCAAGAAACTCTGGATTCTCTTAATTCAGAATGAGTTTTTCTGGACCAGCACCACTGATGTGGTGTCCCCTCTGTTCATCTTGTCTGGACAGTTTCAGGCTCTTGGACCTGAAGCAATGTAATTCACACAGAGCAGAAATGGAGACAAAATATTTTTAAGATCTTAAAATGTTGTTTCTCCCCCTGGCCCCCAACAAATTCAGTGTTGAGATCCTTGTGGAAGTAAGAAAATGACTTTGCTGATGGCCTCTTTCAGGACTTCTTTCACTTTTTCATTCTGCAAGCTGTAAATGAAGGGGTTCAGAAAATGGGTCACCACTGTAGTAAAACAACAGTTACTTTGTCAAAATCCAATGAATAGCTCTGGTTAGGCCTCACATACATGAAAATGGAGTTTCCATAGGCAATGGAGACAACTGTAATGTGAGAGACACAGATGGAAAAGGCCTTTTGACAGCGTTGGGCTGAGGACATACGCAAGATAGCGGAGATGATGTAGCTGTAAGACACAGTCTTGAGTACCAGGGAGCTCAGGACAACCACAGAAGACAAAAGGAAGTGGATAATCTCGATGAGATGAGTGTCTATATAGGCAATCTGTAACAGAGGGGCAATGCCACAGAAGAAGTGGCTAATCTCCTCGTTACAATAAGGCAATCTGGACACCACAATAGTTGGAAACAATACTGATAGGAAAGCTCCCACTCAATAATCCAGAACTAGCAAGAGGCAGACTCTGCTGTTCATTATGATGGTGTAATGTAGCGGGTTGCAGATAGCGACATAGTGGTCAAATGATATCGTGGCCAAAAGGATAAACTCAACTGTGCTGAGGAAGAAATAGAAATATGTTTGGGTGATGCAGCCTGCAGAAAAGAGATGGTTTTTCTCTCATTAAGGAGGCAGGCCAACAACTTGGGGACAATGACAGTGGTGAACAAGATATCCAAAAAAGACAAGTTGCTGAGGAAGAAATACATTGGGGTGTGGAGACGATAATTTGTCCAGATCAGGGAAATGATGACAATGTTTCCTGCTATGGTTAGCATGTATGCTAACAAGAGGACTACAAAGGGGAAAGTCTGCAGCTTCTGGAGAACAGGGAAGGCAACGAGAACAAACTCAGTCACTGTACTCTGGTTTTCCATGGCCTTTGCTCCAGTCTGTGGGTCTTGGCTGAGAACTAGCAAAGGAAGAAAGATCAGTTTATATGCTCATTCATCTGTGCTAAAACTGTTGTGCAAAGTATTGACTCAAGAGTCAGGAGACTTAGGTTCTACTCCCAGTTCTGCCACCAACTGGGGACATGACAAAGGCATTTGAGAGCCCTTCCCCTCTCTGAAATTGGACTCCCACCTTTCTTTTCTGCCTTATTTCCCACTATGCCCCTTCTTATATTCTGTGCTTCAGTCATATCATAATACTTACTGTTCCTGAAACTTGTCTTGTTCCTTTGTATCTCCAGGTCTTTGCTTAAACTCTTGGAATATTCTTCTATATTACTGCTCCCTACTCTTCCTCCATACACATTATAAATTTCTTCTTCTTGTAATCTTTCTCACCATTCAGTTCCCATCTCAATTGCTATCATGCATTCAACAAACATTTATTAAACACCTACTATGTGAAAGGTGCCGGAGATACTTTTATGGAATATTAAAGCCACAGTAGAAATTAATATTGAATTCATTTGGTCCAACCCTCTTATTTTAATGGAGAGGAAAATGAGGTCTAGAAAAATGGAGTGACTTGTCTAATGCCACACGATTAGTGGCCAAGCCATGGCTTGAACCTAGGTCTTTGGACTGAAAGTCCCAAGTCTTGCAATTCAACTTATTACTATTAGACTTTGCATTTTCCCCAATGTCTAATGAAATGCATTTATTGAATTCATAGGTGAATGAATGAATAAAGATTAGAACATCATAGATTAAAGAGTACATAAAGATCATTTAGTCTAACCCTTTTCTTAGGGCCTGGCATATAGTAGGTTGTTAATAAATGTTTATTGTATTGGCCTTGAGATAGACATTTAACCTGTCTGAGCATCAATCCCTCATTTATAAAATAAGAGGGTTGGATTAGAGGATTTGTAAGGTTTCTTTCTGTTCTGATATTCTATGATCCTAATTTTTTTTTTTAGGAAATTGGTTCTTTTTAAAGTATGTGTTTAATTAAATTCTTCACCTTGCACCACAGGAGAAGGCTAAGCATACATTTTCCCTGGTACATTGAAGAGAAAATGTTACTTTCTAATTTTATTCTTCCATTAACCCAAAGTCTAAGGTTGACATAGACTCTTCCTCTTTCTCCTTTTCCTCCTCCAACTTTTATAGTAGAAACAACAGTAACAGCTAAATTATGTTTATACTGCTATAAAGTTTACAAAGCACTTTTCTCCAAAAAACAATGTGAGGTAGTTAGTACAGATACTATTATCTCCATTTAATAGTTAAGGAGAGAGAGAGGGAGGGAGGGAGAGAGAGAGAGAGAGAGAGAGAGAGAGAGAGAGAGAGAGAGAGAGAGAGAGAGAGGAGATCAATTTTCTTTTAGAAATTGCTTATATATACACATGGCTATATATAGGGTAGAAAACTTCATTTTCCAGCTCAAAGAAAGAAATAATTGTGTGAAAGTGCTATCGGGAACCAGGCACTAGACTAGATTAGATCCTGGATCACTGACTTGCCATGGTGGAGGGGCTTGTGTAGCTCAGTGAAACAATGAACTACGCTATGTAGGGTTACCCAAGATGGACAAGTCATAGCGGAGATTTCCAACAAAAGGTGATCCACTGGAGAAGGAAACGGCAAACCACTCCAGTGTCTTTGCCAAGAAAACTTCATGGATAGCATTAAAATGACAAAAGAGATGACACCAGAAGATGAGCCCCTCAGGTCTCAAGGTCCAACACACTACTGGGGAAGAGTAGAGGACAGCCACAAGTAACTAATACTAATGAAGTGACCAGGCCAAAGTGAAAAGGCAGCTTAGCCGTGGATGTGTCTGGTGACAAAAAGAAAGTGCGATGCTATAAAAATCGCTGTTGCCTAGGAACCTAGAATGTAAGATCTATGAACCAAGCTAAGCTGGATGTGGTCAGATAGAAGGAAAGATTAAACACAAACATCTTGGGTGTCAGTGAACTTAAATGGAAAGGAACGGGTGAATTTAGTTCAAGTGATCACTACCTATAGCACTATGGGCAAGAATCTCTTAAAAGAACTGAAGTAGGCCCTCATAATCAATAGAAAGGTGAGAAAAGCAGTACTGGGGTATAATCTCAAAAATGACAGACTAGTATCTGTTCAAATCCAAGGCAAATCATTCCACATCACAGTAATACAAGTCTATGATCCAACTAACAATGCCAACGTTGCTTAGTTCTATGAAGACAACAACATCTTCTAGAAATAACAACAGCAACAACAACAACAAAAGATATTGGATTCATTACAGAAGATTGGAATGCTGAAGTTGGAAATCAAAAGATAGTTGGAATAATGAGCAAGTTTGGCCTGGGAGTACAAAATGAAGCATGGCAGAGGCTAATAGAGTTTCATGAAGGTAGCTCGTTGGTCATAGCAAGCACTCTTTTTCCTCTATTTGAAAGGTGAGTCTACACATGTATATCACCAGATGGTCGATATTGAAGTCAGATCGATGATATACTTTGCAGCCAAAGGTGAGAATCTCTATAGAATCAGTTAAAACAAGGCCTGGAACTGACTGTGCCTCAGATCATGAGTTTTTTAATTGCAAAATTCAGACTTAAATTGAAGAAAGTAGGGAAAACTATCAGACCATATAGGTATGAGCTAAATAACATCCTTTGTGAATATGAAGGGGAAGTGATAAATAGATTTAAGGGTTTAGATCTGGTAGATAGAATGCCTGAAGACCTATGGACAGATATTTACAACATTGTACAGAAAGTAACAACAAAAAATATTCCAAAGAAAAAGAAGAGTAAGATAGCAAATGGCTCTCTGATAAGGTTTTACACATATTTGAGGAAAGATGGAAAATGAAAGGTAAAGGAGAACGGGAAAGATAAACCCAAATAGCAAGAAGAGATAAGATTTTCTCAGGTGAGCAACGCAAAGAAATAGAAGAAAACAATAGAATGGGAAAATGAGATCTCTTCAAGAAAATTAGAGATATCAAGGGAACATTTCATGCAAAAATGTGCATGATAAAAGACAAAAAAATGATATGAGCTGAAATAGAAGAGATTAAGAAAAAGACACAGAATAACTATACGAGAAAAATCTTAACATCACCAGTAGCCATGATGGTGTGGTTACTGATCTAGAGCCAGACAATCTGGAGAATGAAATGAAGTAGGCCTTAGGAAGCATTACTAAAAATAAGGCTAGTGAAGATGACAGAATTCCAGCTGAGCTATCTAAAATCCTAAAAGATAATGTTGTTAAAGTGCTGCACTCGATATGCCAGCAAATTTGGAAAACTCAACAGTGGCCACTGGGTTGACCAAAAAAATCAGCTTATGTCCTAATCCTAAAGAAGGAAAAAGCCAAAGAATGTACAAGTTAACAAATAATAGTTCTCATTTTACATGCCAACAAGGTTATGTTTAAGATTCTGCAAGTAAGGCTTTGGCAATATGTGAACCAAGAGTTACTGAAAGAGCAGGTTGGTTTTTGAAGAGGCAGAGGAATTAGAAACCAAATTGCCAGCATTTGTTGGAATATGGAGAAAGCGAGGGAGTTCCAGAAACACAAAAACAAAAACATCTGCTCCTGCTTCATTGATTACACTAAAGCTTTGGACTGTGTGGATCACAATATGGCAAGTCCTCAAAGAGATGAGAGTACCAGATTATTTTACTTGTCTCCTGAGGAAGCTGTATGTGGGCATGGAAAAACTCATTGGTTTAAGATTAGAAAAGGAGTACACAAGGTTGTATAGTCTCACTTTATTTATTTAACTTATCTGCAGAGTACATCTTGTGAAAAGCCAGGCTGGATGAATCAAAAACTGGAATTAAGGTTGCCAGGAGAAATATCAATAATCTCAGATATGCAGATGTTACCACTCTGATGGCAGAAAGCGAAAAATTAAGTCTCTTGAAAAGAGTGAAAGAGGAGAGTTATAAAAGCTGACTTGACTTTTGGCAGAGTTTTGCACTGATCCAGCCATTCTGGAGAGCAATTTGGAACTATGCCCAAAGGGCAATAAAATTACATACCCTTTGATCCAGCAATATTACTACTAGGTCTGTACTTCAAAGAGATTTTTAAAAAAGGGAAAAGGACCTATTTGTTCAAAACTGCTTATAGCAGCCCTTTTTGTGTTGGCCAAAATTGGAAATTGAGGGGATGTGCATCAATTGGGGAATGGCTGAACAAGTTGTGATATGTAATTGTAATAGAATATTATTGTGCTATAAGAAATGACAAGCAGGATAATTTCAGAAAAACCTGGAAAAACTTACATGAACTGACTATGAGTGAAGTGAGCATTGTATGATGAACAAATGTGAATGACTTAGCTAATCTCAGCAATACAATGATCCAAGACAGTTTCATAGACCCATGATGAAAAATGCTATCTGCCTCAAGAGAAAGACCTGATGTTGAATGAACACAGACTTAAGCATGTTATTTTTTACTTTCTTTCTTTCTTCTATTTTTTTTGGTTTGAATTTTCTTCCACAGAATAATTAATATGGAAATGTTTTACATAAATATGTTTTATATGATTACACATGTATAACCCATATCAAATTGCTTGGTGTCTCAAGGAAGAGGTAGGGGAGGCAGGGAAGGATAGAATTTGGAACCCAAAACTTTAAAAAAAAAGAATGTTAAAAATTAGTTTTACATGTAATGGGGAAAAATTAACATTATTTTTAAAACGCTGGCTTGAGGCTTAACATAAAACAACAACAACAGAGACCAGAGCTAAGATCTTGGCAACTGGTCCCATCACTTCCTGGCAAATAGAGTGAGATAAAATAGAAGCAGTATCAGATTTTATATTCTTGGGTTCAATAATTACTGCAGATGGTGACAAAGGTCCATATAGTCAAAGCTATGGTCTTTCTAGCAGCAATGCATGGCTGTGAGAATTGGTCTATAAGGAAAACTGAGCCCTGCAGAATCAATGCTTTGGAATTGTGGTG